GTGGGGCTTAGACTTGCGTAAGGTGTCAGATCATGGCTGTTGGAGCCGTTATCGAAAGAGTCGCACAAGATATTTAGTTTCACAACCAGAAAGGGCGCTATTCGGTCGATAGGGGGGAAGATTTGCTAGTTTGCTAGCTCTTGATTCCTGGCATTGGCGAGGCCTGTAAACTCTTGTGGAGCTGCAAATCGAAAGACGTTAACAAAAAGTTTGAAATTAACAAGCAGTTAGAAGAAGTTGTGAACTGAGCTTTAATTTTCTCGAATGCATGAATTAAAATACTTCGCGAATGCTTGTAGAATACTTGGTTATCTTGCGAGGTGCTCCCTGAAAAATTCCCGTTTCGTCTTCTCCATAAGTAAGCCCGTCTACTGCAGGACTGATTCTGTAGTTTCTAGATGGTTCATCGCTCATGGATGCCGGTGAGATGGATGGCGAAAGAGGCAATCGAACAGGGTCGGTTTAGCGAAGCATCTGACGTGTGGTCGTTTGGCGTGACCCTGTGGGAGATATGGAGTTATGGTCGTCAACCGTACGGATCTGCTTCGAATCAGACTGTCATCGAACTGATTGCCAATCGACACCTGCTCGAATGCCCACAAAATTGTCCGACAAATATCTATGGGTGAGTTCTATGGGTGCCTTTACTGAAGGATTGTTTCAGCCTAATCAAAGCCTCTGTAATTTAGTTTGATGATCGAGTGTTGGAATGCGAATCCGGATCGGCGACCGACGTTCTCGGAGATTCACAGCCGCCTTCAGTCATGGTCTGTCGTCAGTCCAGCGCATTCGATCTTGCACAATCAACGGGCAAGTGCCAGCTCACAGAGTGGTGAGTTCACACTCCAAAATTTTGTTGATCAGTTTTTCTTGAAATTGATTCCCAAAGTTGAGCTTCTTCATATTATTTCTTTGCTATCTGTCAGACACCCTTAATACTTCGCGACTCAAGCTGCGAAAGGTGTAAGCAGTCAAGCGTACTTTTTCCAGACATTTCTCTGAAATTTTCCTCAAAACATGGGCGTGAACGTAGTTGGGGAACCACTTCAGCGCCTTTTTTCCCTTACCCTAACCACGGATTCGCGCCGCGCTGTTTTCCTTTACCCGTAACAACTGCGCATTCGCTTCAGTAGAGGCTATGCCTTCTCTGAGAGCTATAGTCCAGTGACTTGGTTGCCTGCTCACTAAACCCAACCTTTGTCAGACCGCGTCGTACTTCTCGAAAGCAAGCGATCCAGTCGCGCAAGTGGGAGCCACGTTCTACGCTACGGCAATCCCCGCGGTCATCCCTGCGGAACGCATTTGGCTCGCTGAACCGAAGGCGGACGTATTTGCTAAGGATATTTTATTAGTTAAGTATTAGGGTTGTGGGAGAAAGCTGTATAGATGAGTGGCTTAGGTAGCAGGGTGGGAAAAGCTGGGAGGTATGGGAGGGGTGGTGGTCGCAGAGGACGAAATTGAAGGGGTTGTATTTCCCGTCAATCTTGCCCAGTGGCAGGAGGCAGCGTGTTCAGGAAATCACTAACCATTGTCGAGCCGCTGCAATAACGATCTGATTCAAAAGAAATTCTTTTGACCACTTCACCAGATTAGGAATGCAGCCGCTTGCCAGTCACTTATCGCCTACGACTGGAATCCAATTATGTTCAGCGCCTCCGGCAGAAGGACGCAAGACATACTAACTCCTTCTCCCCCCCCCCATCCCTATCCAAGTACATTAGCGCCGATTTCATAGGAGAGAATATTGCTTCCAGATTCTGTTCCTAGCTATAGTCAAGGTAATTTGTGTTGCTATTTTAACAAACAGTGCCCATTACAGTTTCGTAGATTTCTTTTGTTTTACCCATTTTATGACCGATTGTGGGGCGGTCCTCATTGCAGAGTTGGGATCCACCTTCTATAAGGAATGCTATAATCAGTTCATGCGTTCCGTGAACACCAGCTTTCGGAATTGTTATGTTTGGGTTTCTCTCCCATGCACGTACCCGTGTGTTCCTCTGCAAAATTAATTCATCAGGAAACACACCAGAGCATTTGCATATAAGAGGTTTTCAGGTTCATCTGGCGCTGGTGGACGCGGCCAGTCTAACCGGGTGTCGTCGTTGACTCGAACGGCCCCGTATCAACAGCAGACCACACGACAACGACGGACTGATGACGCCAGTCCTTTGATGAGAAGAGATGCCAACTATGCTTACTCAGATGATGGCGATAGCGACTGAACCAAGTGGCATGGCCTCTAGTAAAAATCCTCCTTGCATTTTAGGGGTAGCATTTTGAGCCTCGTAGCGCTGAACCTCTTATTCTACCCCTGATGGGCATTCATAATCGTCGTATCGAATTCGAATTCTGCAGGGTCCCTCTCATACATTGACCTCGTTCAACACTTGTACATTGTTATCCGTGGTTTTGTTTCTTTTCTTGTTATTTCTTCGTTGGTTTAGTCCCCTGAATGAGCTTATTCGTCGTTTTTTTCGTATCTGTCATAGACGGTTGTAAATCTATTAGGCCATGTCCCGTTTGTATGAC